TTTCTCTCTCTTTTTTTTTTTTTAAATGGGGCTTTTTGCTGCTCTAACATTCCTCCCTCTGAAGAGGTAACCCTAGAATCTTTGAAGGATTAGATAAGAGCTCCCAAATGCTTTCAACATTTTTGGCCTTTGGAATGGATTTTTTTTTAATATTATTTTTATTTTATGTGTATGCGTGTATTGCCTGCATGTAGGTAGGTGCACCCATGTCATGCAGTGCCCGCAGAGGACAGAAGAGGCTGTTGCATCCCCTGGGACTGGAGTTATAGCCAGTTGTTAGCTGCCATGTGGGTGCTGGGATTCGAATCGGGGTCTTCTGCAAGAACAACCAGTGTTCTTAACCGCTGAGCCATCTCTTCAACTCCTGGTAACATGTATTTTTAAAGCCATATCATTTTAAATTCAGGAAACTAAATAGAACTCAAACTTTGAAAATATGATAGCTATCATTAATAAAGTGTTTTAGTATAAGCTTGTTAAACCTTTTACTTTTTAAAAAAAATTTATTTGTTAACTGATTGATTGATTGATTGGTTGATTGATTGACTGATTGATTGATTGACTGACTGAAATGGATCTCACTATGTAGCCATGACTGGCTTGGAACTCACTATGTAGACCATGCTAACCTTTAATTCACAGAGCTCCCCTGGCTTCTGCTGGGATTAAAGGTTTAAGGAGATGCTGTTGTTGGGAGTTCTTTTTTAAGATTTAAGAAACAAATGATTGATTGGATTTGGCCCAAGGGTCATAATTTGCTGCCTCTTGGTTTGAGTGATCTGTTTCTGTGGCTTCCTTGAGAAATTGTGTTCTGTTTGTAGGTGCTGATGCTTATAGATGCCAGCTTTGGGTTTGAAATGGAGACATTTGAGTTTCTAAACATCTGTTAAGTGCATAGCTTTCCTAAAATCATGGGCGTTCTCACCCACCTGGACTCCTTCAAGCACAATAAGCAACAGAAGAAAACAAAGAAGCGGCTGAAGCACCGGTTCTGGACAGAGGTCTACCCGGTAGGAGCAGAGAGCACTGCGCCATCACTGCGGTCCTCGACAGCCGAGAGTAGTGAAGAGATGTCACTAAACGTCTCCAGGATTTACCTCCTGACTTTCCTGTGTATCTTTCCAGTCCCTGAACCATTTCCCTCAATGCTGTCTTTACCTGGGTAGCCCTTGGTTCTTTCTCATTCACTTCTGTACCACCTACAGGAGACAATGTTGGTTACAATTTACTAGCGTGCATCTGGAGCTTCTGCTAATCAAGGACCAGGACTGCCATTCCTTCTCCCCATGCTGCTCTGGCCCAGTGGTCACTCCTTTCTCTGCTCAGGAACCTCATGACCTTCTCCTTTGCACACTCAGACCAATGCTTGTGTTTGACAGTAAAGAAGTCTCCTTTGATGAGGCCCTCACAGGACAAGTCCTGATGAAGGCAGCCAGGCTTTGAAACACCAAG